GAATTCTGCCGTATTTCGCTATCTTCCGTCTGCTGTAATAAATAGCCATTAAAACGTCAACAACGGGCAATTTTGATTGTGGAGAAAATAACTTATTAGGTGAGCTATATAGTTTACTCTATGCAATTGTACTGGTTCAAGCTATTTCAAATCCTATATTCTAAGCTACCCCGTTTTTTTGCTTAAAGATATGTTCCATAACGACCGCCTTCCATCAGAGCTGATTTTGTCTCAACTTTCCGGCTGTCAGTGCAGAGGTCTCGTGTGCACTCCAGAGCAATGCGATTGCCTGAAGCGGTGCAATGGAAACCTATATGACAGTTCCGGTCGTCTTTCCTGCCTTTTGAACTACAAGGAGACTCGACAACTTCAACCAGTTTTTGAGTGCAATAGTTGTTGCGCGTGCCCACCCACCTGTCCTAATCGACTGGTTCAGCATCTAATTGGGCGCTTTCCAGACCTAAAGGTCGTGAATACGGGAAATGCTGACAAAGGTCTGGGCATCATATGCCAGAGGGATCTCTCACCTGGCCAGTTTGTCTGCCTTTATATGGGAGAATATATTCCACCAGCGGATGCCGGCCGAGTTTCGCGGGCTCAGATCCTTTCTCTGGGCCATACGTATATTCTGTGTGTTCGAGAATTCGCAGGCGCGTCTCGGCTGGTCAGTGAGACGGTAGTCGACGGTGCTGCGGAGGCATTTCTACCCGATTTGCCAATATCTAGTTACATAAATCACTCTTGCCAGCCAAACTTGACCGTCGTCCCGGTACGCGTAGATTCTCTGCTACCCTTTTTGACATTCTTTGCCAATCAGAAGATAACAGCAGGTACTGAGTTGACATACGATTACGGAGAGTACTCGACATCGCCAGACTGCCTTTCAAAGAAACCCTGCCAGTGTGGTGAATTGATGTGTCGTGGGTTTTTGCCCGGTGCAGAATGAGTTTAACGTGGTCGCTTAAATACTCACTCTCATTTATGTCTGCTAGTGCGTCAGAGAAATAAGGACCGTCGCACTAACGGGTTTTGGGAGCTCAGCCTGGAAAAGATGACAGGTTGATGAGATGTGCCAGTCGGATCCAGGATCATCTCTTACTTTCAGTTTCAGTCGAATGCTTCCTCACAGCTTTGTTCCTTATTTTGTTTATGCCCATGTTTTTTTGCTGTATGCGTTCAATGCGACGCATTTGTGATTTGCTGCGAAAATCGTATAATAAAGAATATTCCAGGCGTTTTTTGTTTGAATAAGTGGGCGTTCATATATAGACGAATATTTTACTTATGAGTAACAATGCGACACCCAACACGGCCGGGGCTGCTAAAGTTGTAGTAGTTGTGGCGGCCTCTTTGTGGTCGCTCTCACTGATGTCATGTCTGGGCGGATAAACTCTGGCTTATGTCGACCGAGAGGTTAGCGGGGACGTAGGCCGGATAGACCGGTTACTACCTTCCTTTTTACTTTTAGCTACTGACACACGATAGGTAGATGTGGTCAATGTCTCATCAGCCTTCCTGATTATAATCCAGACCGAACGCACATTATATCCGCTACGGCCGTGATGATTCCCATCGAGTACTAGTTACGACCTACCACTTATTGTGTTATACATGTGTAATTGTTGACAGTCCATAATGTGCTATTGGTTTGTGCATACGAAGTTTTTTTTATAAAAAGTGCATACTCCCTGTTTCACTGTAATAGACAGCTCCGCTCACAATAGATTGACTTAAATTATCGTAATTACACTCGCTTTCCAGGATAGCCAAACTCCCATCTCTCAACGGCTGCCCAACAGGCGTTCTTACCAGTCGTACACAGAGGTCGGGGTCGTCCTAGGGCAGTATGCATGTGATTTTTTGTCTCGGTTTCGAGCTTGTGCAAACCAAGGCCGTATTGCACTGCATTCTATCCGTCACATACGACCTCACCTGCAATCAACAGTGCGTAAGTAGTCGTACAGTTGACAGTCTATAATGTGCTGTTGGTTTGTGCATACTTAAGGTTTTTTTATAAACAGTACACACACCGTGTTTCATTGTAATAGACAGCTCCTGCAAGGCGAGTATGTCCGCTCACGACTACGGTGGATTGACTTAAATTATCATTATTACATTCACTTTCGAGGATAACCAAACTCATCTTAGGACGGCTGCCCGACAGGTCTTCTTACACGGAGGTCGGGGTCGTCATAAGGCAGTATGCGTGAGATTTTTCTGCCTCGAACTTGTACAAACTAAGGCAGTATTGCTCTGCATTCCATCCGTCACATACGACCTCAGGTGCAACCAACACTGCGTAAATAGTCAGAATCCGCGGGCAAGGGATGGAGGAATGCTTGTGTATCATACTTTCTGCATGACTACTTGTTAAGAGCTCTGGTGACTTAAAAGGAAATTGTTCCGGACAGGCGTTTAGCGTTTGAACAATTGGATCTCCCGTCCGCTGGCGTGAACTGCATTGTAGAATAATATCGAGCAGTACCTTAATTTTCGGACTAGTCGGCCCTCTTCTTGGTCACCTTTTCGTTTCGTCGATTCGCGCGACGGCTCCTATTATAAGCCGTTATATAGGCCGAACATGGTCTGTGTGTGCTATGCGGTTGTTCGTCGAGATTATCGTTATCGTGGCGCTCACCGTTGAAAACCAGCATGCCTTATATAGGCCTTGGTAAGGTCAGGAGGGAATCGGTGCGTTGTCCTATCAAATTAGCCTCCCCATTTATCGCGAGTAGGTACGTCTTGGAA